AACTTCTATCTGGAATTTCAGATTTTAAAAAGAGGATGCACTGTTTCACAAAAAAACTGCATTTATTGTTCCAGTGAAAATGTGTGGGCCAGGCTCCAAAGCAACACGAATTAAACAGGGCCTTTTAATAGAAACTATAGGAAGTCTGTTACTATGGCAACACTCCTGAGCACCACTTCTTAAATTGCCTCCCTCCCCTATAATCACTCCCCCACCCATGCTCAGAGAGGTTGTGAGCATCTGCAGCACCCACTGAAATTCACAAGGGTGAACTGCACCCTGCAGATGCTCATCACCTCCTAGAATTAGGTCCTGTGAGCATGCAGAGAAGTGAAGGGGTGCTGTAAGGCAGCAGTGTCCAAGGATGCAAAGTGCGAAGACGTGCACTTTTTTGGCGCACTACAAAGCCTCCTTTGGTTTGTATCTCAATACTAAACAGAGCAGAATAGGGTCATGTTGCCTGCAAGCAGTGTTCTGCAGCACGTCCCCAGCATTGTAGCACTACCTGGTCCAAGTCATAGGAGCAGGAATCTACCCGTTGTCTGAGGACGTTCCACTTCTTCCCACGGAACAAGCGCCAGAGAGACGACAGGCCATAAATTTTCAAGCAGTAGAGCCTGAGCAAAAAGACGACACTGTGAATTAGAGCTGTGAGCTCCTGACCTTCAACACAAAGCAGCTGTCATCATCACACTCATGCACCCACTGACTCCACAGAACTCGAGGAGGCAAAAGAAATCAACACAAGTATGATGCAGATAAAATACTAACTGCTCAGTCATCTGTACGTGCGCTGCCCCTTGGGCAAAGCAGGCTACTGCTGAAAGCTATGGATCAGTGGAGGGTAACAGCCATGCCTATGCCCCTGGCTATGACAGAGCTCTTGATTGTAGGATTTCTGCTACTGTTGATGGTGGAGTTGGTGTATGGGGAAGAGCAAGTTCTGCTGGAGGGAGGACACTATGAGCAGCAGCAATCACCAGTCTCCTGCCTTTCCACCTCTCTCCACCTTCACTGTAGCAAAATAAGCAGCAAGCTTACTCCCCAGAGCTCACCTTGGTCTCTCCTGTTTATATCCACCCCATTCCCCTCACTTCACACCCTTTCTATGGCAGCAGCAGCCAAAGCTTTGCCCCTCTCATCTGAGTCAATACAATTCAATTTTGCCTACATAGCACAGAGAGGCAAAGGAGTAAATAGGAGAAGACTAGAGTCTCTGGCAACTGCTTTAGAAAACCACAGTTTCAAACACCTGGAAAAGTGGGAAGAGAGCAACTAAATGGATGGTGGCACCCCCATCACATCCTTTCATCATCAGGCTTTAGCAAGTTGGTACTACAATACTCGAAGCTACTTGCCTCCCAGGAAAATGGCAACAGTGGGAGAAGCTTGGGGTAATAAAAGGTGAGAAATAAAGACACCTCCAGAATAACTTGATAGAGCAGAAAAGAGCGCCTGGAATGGAGAGGAGGCAAAACAAACCCTGGGCAGCAGTCTCCAACATAAATGGATGTAAAGAAGGGGGACACAGCCAATCTGTGGGACAGAACAGAGCTTGAGAGTCTGATCTACTAAAGGTAGCCTGGTTAACTAGCCTAGATAAAGTGCAACAGTTGCTCAAACTTCAAGACAGCACTGTGAAAGCAGTGGCAAGGAGTCTTATCCAAAAGAGTAATCTGGTTTGAGGAACACTAACTGCTTCAAGGAACTGGCAGGGTGCCCCCAAAGGGCTGGCAGGCACAGCTCAGTGCACTAATCTCTAGGTAAAAGGGTGCCCAGGACAACTCCTTCATGTTGCTGGTGCACACCTGCCTTGTGGCTCTGACTAAGGCTGCACCTGCCTTCTCCCCTGTGCACCATGACATAATACAAGCATGTGTATCTCATTTAGCACCTGCCCCACCTTTGCGGGCTACCTGCACACACATGCCCACTTTCATTTCATTGTGTGGTTAGTTTCAGAAGAGGATCTTAGACTTCACCATCACCTGAACCAGCAAACTCTTCTGCCAGCTGCACAAACACAAGGTGTTGTGATGATTTTGTGGAAGTGGGTGACTGGTATCGCTTCTACAAGGGACACCAGGCACAGCAGGGGCGGTTTGCTGCCAGCTTCAAGACAAAGAGCTGCAGCAGCTTTACTTCTAACAGAGAGAGCTGAGGCTGGCAGACTGGCTCCCTGCAGCTCATACAGGAAAAGCAATCAGCAGGGAAAATGCTTTTCCTATTTCCACTCACTGCACAGTTATGAGGGACCAAAGCCTCATATCCACTCCTCATAGCCCAAGAAAGAAATTCCACTAAATGGAGGTGCTGGGAAGAGACTCCGCATAGAGATTACTGATCTCAGGTGTAAGCCCTATGCTCACAACAGAACTGATTCTTAAATCATATCTCAATATTTCTAACTATCCTCCACACTACCTATTACTAAAGTTCTACTATTTCTTCTTTTGTTCGCAAAGTACAGCCCTCTACTCTCATCCTGGGAAGGAATGATGCTAATTCTGTACTTTTTAGGCTTATTTATTACCTTGTCTCCTCTCCTTGAGAGGAACAGATATTCTCCAGTGCTCTCTGTGATGCCCAGTGGCCACGCATGTCAATGGAGAGCACGAAGAGAGCATGTTGGTTTGCACTCTTTGCATAGTAACCCCAACGTGCCCAGCAAACCCAGAATGTGCCCCAAAGCCCCTCACTCCCCTCCCTCATAGCTTCTCCCTGGCTACCAGGCCATGAGGCCCTTCAGTACGTCTGGACAATGATGGAGGGATGATGTCACAGCCATGCTGCAACACAAAACCTGCCAGCTGGGCTCCATGAGCAGACAGGCCCTCTAAAGCAGGGCACAGTCAGGGACTGGGCTTCTCCAGAAGTACAAGGGTTTCCCTTTCCTCCTCCTCTCCTCCAATTTTCCTCAAAACTACTGGGTAGGGTACAGCTAAAAAGAGGGAATCAAAGGGATGGCAAGAACTGCTTTATCGCACTCCACCTCTTATGTAGTTTTATTTTTTCCAGGTCACTACCTCAATAAGTAAATATTAAATGCAAGAGAATTGAAAGATAGGCTGCTTGTACTGCTGTGGCCATCGCTTCTACACGCATAAAAGAAGGCAATAAATTAATTTTCAGCTTAAACTGTGAATTTAAAAGAGCTACACCAGGAATGACCGTACCCAGTATGATACCTAGGTCTGGGATAAATGATTGAATATCCCACAGATTTGACATACGAAGGTTTAGGTTTTGTGGCTTCTTTGGCGAGGAATCAAGCCACTGTGGCCCAGGTATCCTGGATACCTGCTTTTCGCTAGCGCTTCTGTATGATGAGGGTCCATCTAGTTTAGCAAGAGGCTTTGACAGCATCAGCAGTAAACATCTGCCACAGCAGAGAGCTGTTAGCTGCAGTACTCCACAAATTAAAGACATGCCCTGTGTGCATGCATTCACCCTTCTCTCCAAATGTACTTAAGATACAAATAAAAGAGATCAACTCACCTGGCTCCGTAGACATAGAAGCAGTAGATGTGGAAGGTCAGAAGTGCAATGATGTCAGAGAGGATGCAAAGAGCCACAGTCAGGCCCAGACAAGCTGACAGACCAACATGCCAGAGGATCATCTCGATGAATGGAGACATCAGGTGAATGTAGCCTAGTGGACATCACAGAGCGTTAGAGTAAGAAAAGGACATTTGACGGAAACATCTTCTTTTCCAAAAGACCCTGTCCTAGAACATTGCTCCAGAAATCATAGATAAGACCACATGGAAGTAAAACTAGGAAATTTCTTCAGATGGCCATCTTCTATTTAGGAGGGCCTGCAGAAATTCTCTTTCCTCCTAGGTCTCCATCCAGGCGTGGCAGCTCTGTGAGAAAGGGGGGCACATGCCCAACTTGAACATAGGAGTCACCGTACTCCACATGCAATTTATTTTTCTGGATTTGTGTCCAGGTTCCTAATTACATTTTAACTGCACACGTCAACCTTCACTGAAACAATTTCCCTTATACTTCCTATTCCCATAAAAGCTATCCAAAAATAATTTTATAAAACAAAACAACCCATGAAAGGCACACAGTCTAGAGGCACACAGTCTCTTTCATCATAAAAATCGAGCAAAACCACAGAAATGAGAGTATACTTGATAGGTGAGCAGAAGTAGTCCAAATAAGTAAGGAACTCATGACCATCACGACTATTTCCCTTCATCAATATACTTATCAAGGATAACAGGGATGCATTATTTCAAGGAGGGAATATATACACAGAAAGCTCCAAAGTACTATGCACTAAGCAGAAGTCAGTGACAGGATAGGGTCTGCATTTATGTCCTAAGATAACACTTCTCATCCCTATCCTATCAACTACCTCTTACAGGGCAAAGACTACAAAAGCCTACATAAGAACTAAAAATTTCCCTTGGACGTTAACCGTCAACAGCACCAAAAAATAAGTTCTGCTGTGACTTGCATTATTTGCAAAGCATCAGGATAAGCACTTTATTTAATATGCACGACTTTCTTGTGTGGGAATCCAACTTTGGCTTGAGTTCCCAGAGCAGAAAGACTCACAGACGAGTATGCGCTTGCAGTAGTGCACTTTGATTCGTTATTTACCTCTAGGCAAACATTAAACATTTGGGAGGGAAGAGATGAAAGGGCAGGCTGAGAAGTTAAACAGTTGTACTTACTAATCCAAAGATGGATGTGGTAAAGGAAGAAACGACCCAAAACCTGATCCAAAGCTCGGTTCATTTTCAGTCCAGCTGGTGCTCCCATTAGCCACTGGAGCAGGTCCTGGAGCTCTTTAGCTATGTGCTACAAACAAAGAAATGAGGCACCTGAGATAAAAGACTATTACTATATTGAATAGGTCCAGTGTACTGAACCTGCTCCCCCCATCATACAAAGTATTCTCACTACACCCTAAAAACAATGGGGAAAAAAAAGCATGCAAGCAAAGAAATATTTTGTAGACAACTAGTTAAATCAGAAATGCAGCTTTATGAGCAAATAACTAAACATAACAGCACAAGAGGAAGCTGATCTGTTTAAATGGTCTCAGTGCTGGAAACATGAACCTAGTGTTTGTTTCTGGCCATCTCTGGTAGCCTTGCACAGTATGACTTCTTGATGTACTGAGACTTCTTGTGGGAGATGGGCAAATACAAGCGCACAAACCAACTTCATTATACAGACAACTGAACGGTCAGAACAGAGAGAGCAATCTAACTACAGAGAAGGCTATCAGGATTTTTAAAGGGCAAGAGGGTGGTGCACCCCTGGACAGGAAAGGTGAATTTTTACACCAGATAACCTGCGTGTTTACAGCAGGGTAGAAAATATAATTATATAAGCATACTTTACATATAGACAGACTTTGTTTATACTCGGAGGTATATTAGGCAAGATTAACTGTGGTGTATAGCACTGATCTTGTTCAGCTTATCTTACTGCTTATCACAGTAGCACTCTCACTATCTTGTCTCTATTGCAGGTTTCTGGGAGAGATACCTATCACATTCCAGTGGAAAAGAAGCCCTCTGAATCACTGAGAACAAAGCTTGAGTGAGTTCACTACCCAAGTCACTGAAAGCTTTGACTCACAATCCCTGGTGATTTAATCCTAGGCTGATTTTATTTACTGATTTTAATTCTCCATCCCATCCCATTCCTCTGCCCCCTTCTTGCAGTAGGCAGGGTGGAAGAGGGTGGCTCTGCTCCTCAGCTGTAGCAGTTCAGCTTGACCTCTTCAGGTAAGCTGAAATCAATGGTGAAGCCCATTCACCAGACTGTTAGTCGAGGTAGCTGAGAGTGGTAGCCTCCAGCAAACAGGTGGGGAACATACATGGGAGAAGTGACCTCTAACACTTTCCTGCAAGTGTTTGAGATTGAGTGAAAGCCTCTGAAAATCCCAGTCATAATCAAGACCATGCATGTGAGTTTCAGTGAAAACTATGCGTGTGCAGAAGAATCATGATAACAAGAATCAAGACCTGAAACTAATGCACTGTAGCCTACTTTCCCCAACGTTCACATGCATAATTTCCCTGTAGGCAAATGATTTCCAAAGAATGATTCAATTTTATTTATTAACCAACACAATCATTATAAAATGAGTTTGTAAACATGTACTTTTAATGTAGTGGCAAAGTTTTGAGCTCCATCTTCAGCTTAATCAAAAACTCACTTAACAAGAGGGTTCCCTTTGTGTTTCATTCATTTTCCCTCTACCTCAACAATCCTTAAAATATCTCACTGCAAATCAGAACTGGCTTGAACTCATGGATCTTACCTTTGCTGCTGAAAAAAGAAGTGTTAGCTACTTTATAAATAGACTGCTTTTAATATTTTAAAGTGTTGGAGATGTAAGTTAGAAAAAGTATTTTGGGATTTTAATGAAATATTTAAAGGCTTGAAAGCACTTCTTCAGCAAGGCTGTTTTCCAGCACTGAATATTTCTGAGAGTTACAATTCCAGAGATGCCTCTAAAATCTGACAGGGCATTGCAGCTTTGACAAGGTGCCCTAACTTGTTGTTACTTAGCTGGTTAAAGCCTTTCAAAATAAGGTCATAAGTCATAACATTGCAGGATGTTTTCCTATTATATATTTTAGGACTGATCAATAGCAAGCAGATTCAGAAAAGGTGACTAGGAAGTCCAATCCTCTTGTTGCAGTCATGAATACTGAATGTACCTAGTACTAATAAATGAAATACAGTGTATTACATGGAAGTTGTTTCATTAAGGGGCTGTAGGGACATTACTAACCTGGAGACTGAAACTAATGTGGTTTAGATTAGATCACTGCGGAAATATTTTCTTTTTCAGTCATGATCTACTTGCTAGACTTCATATACAGAGGCTCTGGTGGTGATGGGGCATCAACAGAGAAAGACATACAGGTCTACCACTCTAAATTATCTGTTTTATTCTGTTTATCACTTGGGTTTTTCTATAGTCTCTTAAAGAAAGGTTGCTTCACATTGGTTTTATGCAGCTTAGCTCTATCTATCGCAATATAAGGGAACAGAATATTTATGCATATGCTCTAGTGAAGGTCAGAGAAAGCAAAGCCCTTCTTACCATACACATTTGCCCTGTGCCTGTTGCAGGGGTTTGGGGCTCTAAGTGTCACTATTTTATAACTGACATCTAAGCATGCTTTCTAGGAGGTGTTCTCTCTGCTTGGTTTACAGATTAGCAGAACGTGACTGAATAGGAGCTTACATTCAATTATCACTAAGGCCCAGTAACATTTTGGGAGGTATGATCTATGACACTGCTCCAAAGATATTACAGCTTAAGGAGATGAGAACACAGCTAGGATGGAAGAGGTGAAAGAAAAAAGATGGTTTATAAGCAGTTTCTTCTTTACAAAACAGAAAAATGCAGCACTTTCAATTGGTTGATTTTTTTTTTAAAAGGCTGTATCAAGGAAAGCAAAAACCACAACTGCCATTGGGGAGCCTGGTATGAGCAGGAAGAAAAAGGGTAGGAGTTGTGAGGGCACCTACAGTTTATTCACATTTTCCATGCTTGGTTTTGAAAGCCTGCTCAATAATCCATCCTTCATATTGCAGACAGCTGCTCCCCAGGTGTCTCTGAATCACATCTGCTTCATATACTGACAAAAGCAATTTGCTATTACAGTCAGCACAGCTCATCAAGCAGTGAAAGTGGGAACTGCAGTCCGTGATGTCTTGTGCATAATCAACAATTGCCAGCTAAGTGCTGATTTGAGAACCATTATATCAGGGGATGATGAATGACAGCCAAGGAATATGGCTTGATCCCCACGTAAGCAAGCTGAGCTTGTGACCCTGGCAGCTGGCAAGGGTTAAAATAACTTACCTGCTCCTGTTTCTTTCCAGAGAGATGTTTGATTGGGGAGGGGGGGGCAGGGGGAAAAGCCACAGCAAAAGAAGTCTAAGCTACAGTTTGGCAGCTGGATTTCAATTAACATAAAATATTAAAAAATAAAAAAACAGAGAGGGGCAGACAACAGGACTTCTGGGAGTGATAGGTTGGAACTGCCAGAAGAAGGCAGAAAAAGTATGTACTGTATCCAGCTCCCACAAACTTAAAAGTTTGTCAATATAAAAAAAAAAAACAAGCAAATCAATATGGTTTTATATATATAATATTTTATTTACTACCTGATACACTGATGAAAGAAGGTTAATGCCATCATCAGATCTGGGGCACTTATCAGAAACAGAATAGCAAGGAGAACTAGGGAAGGAAAAGTCATTCATCCTGCACATAGGAAAGTCTATATTACCGAATTTGGCAACACATAAGCACTCGAGAAAGTTCAAAGTGATGGGAATAATGTGTACCAGATGGAGACTCAGCAGCAAAGTGGAAACCTACTATTGAATGGCTAAGAGGAGATTTTGCTGTCATACTGGAAAACAAAGTTATGCTGGCTTGCACACCACATGCTGAAGTCATTGGCATATTTTGGGATCACTCAGTTCTGTATTTTTTAAGGCCTGAAATGCACAAGAATCAGTGCCCACTGAAGGCAGTAAAAGGACTCCAAATGACTTTTTGTCCACAATCTAATACTCTTAAAAGAAGAAAGCAAGGCTGGAAAGTAAGAGGAACTGTAAGTGGCTTGAACCAATAAGCTTGGAGATACTGCAGAAAAGAAAGAGGCACAAACTGAATACCATGCTACCCATAGCAGTGGGAGTTAATGCTTCCAGAAAGTAAGTGAACAGTTCTTGGTGATCCTGAAGTCTGCCTACTTAGGAGACCTGGTGGAAATAAATGACACTGTGATGTGCAAGCAGATTGACAGATGAGTTAAATTATTGAAAGAGGAATGAACGAGCTCTCACAAGCAAGCCCATCCAGGACAGGTGCTGTGATCAGATACACCTTGAACATAGAGATCATCCATCTGCCAAAGACACTGGGCAGATGGCATGCTTCTTGGAGCCAACTGTGAAAACAGGATCACAGCCAAAAGCCACTTCCTTGCGGATTTTTTAAGAAATCAGATTTCTGAGAGCTAGACACTTACCTGAGGAAGAGCTCTAGAGAACTTTCCCAGCTGAAATATCTGTAAGGGAAAAGACTGTTTTCTAAGTCTTACCAAAAGATTTTTAGTTTTTAGCTCAAAAACTACAAGATCAAATGTATTCCAAGAATTGCGATCTTTTCTACTACCACATCGCTGCTGCTGAAGAGAATGTGAAACATGCCACCCTTAGAAGTTTCACTAGAAAAGATAACAAAAATAGTAATAATGATGATCCACAGCCATGCTGGCTACACACTTTCTGAAAGCAGAGTATGTGCAAGAATTATTAGAGACATGTGGCTTGTGACGCTGCAAATCTTAGACATGGACCAAGCAGATCATCAGCAGGGGAACAGCTCCTGAGCTCTTCCCAAGGACAATAAGATGAGTAGGAGAAAATATACTGTTGCTGGAATTCTCTAATCAGAATAAAATTTCTCCCAACTAAGAAACTGGAGAAAGAGTAAACAGAGGACCTCCAGCTGCTAGAAAGAAACCAATGGAAAGATCCACCTTATCTCCCAGCAATGAAAGGCAAGTGGGCAAAGAAGGGATTAGGCTGTGCAGGGTCATGTCAGTGCTCAACACTGGTTGCACACATATTCCCAAGACAAAGAAGCTCTTAAAATGGAGCTAACTTCAGATTAATGGTCTGGTCTCCAGCCTCTGAAGTACATTATATGTTCCTTATTACAATTAAACAGATATATTGGAGTGATACACTTAAAATGTGTCACCAGAAAATGAGGATATTATGAGTCATACTTATTCTTCATGAATTTATGCTGATACTGAGGGTTCTCAGTGGGCAAGAAGAGTTGATGTTTGAGAAAAGCATAGGACACAGCAAGTTTCCCCTGTCTACCACCTGCACACCAGAGTTTTTAGAAAGGATTTCAGCGTTTTGTATCCTGACTAGCTAAGGCCTTTAGACTTTCCCATGAAATTCTTCTTCACAAGAATAGCTGCACTGCTTGTCAAGTTTGGTTTTCCAGCAGTTTATCAGACTCAACCGAGGCTATTGTTTTCCTCTTCCAAATGCTCCATGTAACAACTTGAGGACACTTGCTGTCAACTCCAGAACAAAAGTACTCTGGTTTGATAATGACTCCAATCTGCTGCTACAGAGCTGTGCCAAAGACATTCTTGTTGCTTTGGGAGCTGGAATAGCCCTTCAGTACATTTCTAATTACCATTCACTACACATTCAGAGCAGAGCTGTGTTCCTTTTGGGCAGCCACAGTAGGCTTGATCTGAGGATTTCACTGTTTCTGAGAGTCCTAATTTGCCTGACTTGAGATAGGGCTCTCTCTGAAGTACCTCTACAGAAGGCACTGCCTCCTTAAAACTACCTCAGGCACCAAGATCTGGTCACCACACATGGCAGGAAAAAGAAGAAAGGTTCTGTTGAGACTCACATCAGCCACAGGGATAAGAGCATCAGCAAGGTGGCCAATCCGATTCTTTCTGTACAGCCAGGACATTAGCAGTATCCCCAGAGCCACATCAATCAGCAGTGAGACAAAGATGTTGGCTTTCCTGCATGCAGGATAAAGAGAAACAATGTTAAAGAAAAAGGACAGTGCTTAATGTTTCAATAACAACAACTATCAGCTTCACTTACATAACCTATTTTATCTCCCAGGGACAAAAGAACAATTTACTTAAGAGGTGCATTGTAGAGGTCTTTTGATTTTCACTGATGGCTGCTACTTCTGTGGCCAAACACTGGCCTACTTGGAGCCTGCTACAATAAAGTATCATTTTAGCAGGGGGAGTGAATAGTGGTACTGAAGCTACAAAGAGGAATGTTAGACAAAGTATAAATACTCAGTGAGGATTTAGTAATACTAAGGGCATTGTGCATCTCAAGATGCACTTCACATTGAGATCCGATGGCTCTCCAAGAAATACAGTTTTGTTGAACCACTAGCCAATGTAATAAATAGTGTTTCTGGGTAAATAGGGTTGATGAACTGCCCCCTCACTGCTAGAGTTTCTGAATGGAAGTCCATGAGCTGAGTTATGTAGGATATCAGATTAAACAATCACAGTTACTTTTGGCCTTAAAATGTACTAATCTGTTTTAAGTATTCCTTGGGAATCTATTACTACAGGATTAGAGAACCACACAGAACAAAACTCACTGTGTAAGGGCCACAGGGCATTCGATATTTGTCTCTGATCTCTGACTCTCCCTCTTCTACTCACTGTGCTGCACATCTGCTTTTTCTGTTACACTAATTTTGTGACTAATGTTGGAATCTCTGGTCTTCAGTTACTGGCAGAAAGACTCCCCAGGAGAGCAGGCAAAGGAAGGGAGCATGTAAACCTTATAGAAAATGCCACTAAATATTGATTACGTTTTTGGCTAACAGTGGCAACATCTGTGAAAGCACTGAGCTTGTGGGAGTAGTGATTGCAATGCATTACACACACAGGTACAGTACAAGCTTTCCCTGGGCAATCTGAGCAATATCCCAGTCTTGTTTCCCAGGCTAGGGCAGTATCTGGCAAAAGGCATATCTGTAATATAAAACAGCTTGTAGGACAAAGATCTGCAAACTAGCACGGAGATGAGCAAGCAAGTCAACACAACACAGCACAATGAAGACCCTGTACTGTTGTTGTGCTAGCCAGGCCACTTGTGGAGCCTTGTAGTGGGCACAGCATCCATGGTTTGGGTTCCCTGAACCTCCACCTCCAGAAGGAGCCACCTCAGCTCTGTCTGGACATGCCACTAGAGAGAGGTAGGTGCCTGAGGCTTCTGAGTGGAAAGAAAGGAGATTAGCAACACAAAACAGAGGCCAGAGCTCAGTAAGCAACTCAGGGTAGGAGCAGGGGTGTTCTGCAGAACAAGTACAGGGAACATATCAGGAACAAACTGAGACAGAAAATATCTCAAGCCACTATATGGTGATAATCGCAATACAAAGGAAGAGCAAATTAGACATCCAGAACAGAAAAACAATGAGATGACAGCTCTAGGATGACACCCTAGCCATGGAAGTAAATTTTTTGGCAGCTAGAGCAGAAATTAGTTGGTGCACAGATGATGAAGGCTCCAGAAGGAGATAGGTTTAGAGCAATGATGTGTGTACTCCATACCTCATTAGTTGGATCTGGTTTTGAGCCTTCTTGTTGCTGCTGATGACCTGGAGGTGCTGCAGCCGATGTCCCAACTGCTCTGAAGTTGAGAGTTTACTCCATAAGAAAGATAAAGGCCAAAACTTCAGCATTCTGCAGAAAAACAATGAGAATCTTCCCGTGTTTGTACAAACTCCCACACAAAATGTTCAGTGTAAAGTTAAGGTTGTGCAACCAGAGAGGGTGACAACATAGATTGATTACAGAATATTAGATATTAATAACTCTCTTAGAGGTTAATAGAATTTGGGCAGCCTTTCCAAACCAAGATGTCCAAAGCAGACAACCCAACCTCTTACTTCCATCTGTAATCCTGTAAAACATAGTGCCTATCTCTTCCAAAGAAGTCAGAACGCAATATTGATTCCAGCCTGTGTTTTGGGATGTATCACTAGGAGGGCATACGGCTTTATGTCTCCAAGAGATTGAAGTCAAGGCAATTCTGTATACAGAGCAAGGACACAATACAGCTTTGAATTAACAACTGGATTTTCGGACTGGAATGCTACTGAAGATCACTGAGGATCTTGCCTCTTACTGTTGCACCTGATTCACAAATCCAAATATTAGTAGAAACAATTTTCTAATCACCTAGTTGTTTCTATCGGGAGCTGAGTATAACAAACAGCTATTTTCTCCTGCAGTTCCCTTTTTCTTCTTTCCTTTGTCTTCTGCTTATCTTTTTCTCCATTTTTCTTCATTACTTCCACATTCCTTTCTCAGGGTCTTCATTCCTATCTTCTTCCCATCCCCTTGGCAATGGTGACCAGCACACGACACTTAAGAGTTTAATTAGGTCACAGGGTTAACATCCATATTAAGCTTGTGGGGGGGGGACTATTCACACAATTCTTTTTTATGACTCGGAAGAAAAGTACTGAAAAATGCCCAGTTATCTTTGGGCGTTACTTTTACTACTATACAACCCAGAAAGCAGGGAGCAATGATGATCTTGTGTAGTCCAAAATGAAGCCACTGAAGGTAGGTTGGTGAAAGAATACATAATAGTGGTACACCATATTTGATCTGGGGAATACATTTGGACATTGACATAACTGGGATCACTTCTTCCCTGTAGACAATAGTCATTTCTCTCATTAACGGTGCAGGAATCCATGGTCACTTTTCGTTATTTTTTCACCTACTCGCTTTTAGTGCTTTGGCACTTCAGTTTGCATTCATTCCAAATGCTGAATCCATTTCTGGCATCCCACTTTGCTTTTGAATTTGTATAGCTGTTTGGATCATTAGTGAATTTGTCCTGGAGACTTCCATGAAAAGTGTACAAGCTTTCACCAGATTTCATCTGGTAGAATTTAGCCTATGGTCTAGTAGCAGGGTAAGCTTCAGTGGACAATATAAAATGCAGACTGGGGCTCTGGCTGTTATTTATATGATATTCCAGCCTCACAAGTGAATCCACAAACGGCAACTATATGGCTAGTTCAAAATCACGCTTGATTCACTGGGGTTGCTCTCTCTTTCCTTCCCCCATCCCTCTAAGCCCTTTCAACCATACTTAATGCAAGGCTTTTCAGTTTAAAATCAGAGTCCTTAATTCCCCTTCCCCCTCTCCATTAAAATTTCAGATACATTGGTTTTGAAATCCATGTAATGTACTGTGAATCATTCTCCTTAATTTGAGGCCTCTGAGTTACTCAGCTCTTCACTACAGCCACCCACCTCAGAGACAAATGAATGTACTGTTATTCAGTTGACTTGTCAGGAGGCAATATCTAAAGTGACAGAGGAAAGAGCACAGTGGGGGGGGGGGGGGGGGGGGAGACACAGTGGATAATCATGCTGGCCACTGATCTCAAAGACCCGGGTTTCGTAGATTCACTAAGGCACAAGTGCAGATGAGTTTTCTCTTCCAATTATATTCTAGACCAGTAGTTCCAAATTCTGACCTGGAAAGCAGAGAATTGCACTTGCAGAGAAATGCTCTCTCTTCTAGAGAGGTTATGTCCAGAAGGCTAAGGATAAAAATTCAAGTAGAAAGTAATGGCTCTGGGGCCCTGTGCTAAATGCTCACAGGGCTGACCTCCTCCCCACCCTCTCCAAGCAATGTGTTTCTTTTACCATTCTGGCTGCTCCAGGACTCCAAAAGCAAGAGGCAACTAGCTTGGGAGTCACCCACTGACCGGATACCTCTGGTCTCCTGTGTCATAGGGAAGGAGAGGCTGTTGCTCTGTTCTGCTGGTGAAGAGCGTGTCACATAGGTGATAATCATTATCAAAGGACCCTTGTCCTTAGAAGCACATCCTCCACATGGCTACCCACTCCAATGTTTTCCAATGGGCAAACATATCCCCTTGAACGCAACAGGCCATGAGGCTGTCTCACATATTGGAAAAGATACATAAAAGGTCTGTGCTTGTCTATATTATGGCTAACTCTTTCACTTTTCTTTCCACAAAACATCAATTAAACCAACCTCTACTTCACTCTTAACCAAAATAAAGTATATAAACACAGACATTTAAATGAAGACATACAACAAAAAACTCAATAAAATAGTTGCAAGATGAGCTATGAAAACTTCCATCTGTAAGAGTACTGAGGAAGAAAGCCAAAAATGCTTCTTGTATGGTCTCCTATCCCCTGCATTACCACAAATGCTCCCACTTGTTTATCACACTTACAGTATATATGGAATGATTTTTAGAAGTATAATGCAAAACTAACCTAATAAAAATAAAAGATTGCAGTTATATCGTTGCATTACTTAAAAAGCATACAGCAGGAGATGTTTGAGGTACTTCCAAAGGGACTCTAGCAATGAATTAACATAGCCTGCATGAGTAAATCTTGAGTTTCCAATTCAAATTCTTTCCAAGAGCAAGAGTGGACTCTTCAAACACTGGATAAAAAGCAGTATCTTTGAATCTGGATCACACACAAATGTTAAAGCTCCATTAACCAGACCCCCTGGCTGCCTTGCTGCTCTTTGCTAGAAACTGCAGGAACAACGCCTGCCTTCAGGATGAGGAATCAGACGTCACACAGTGTTAGGAAAATGCTATTAAACAGCTTTTTTTTTTTTTCCTCTCTCCAAAAGGAGCGCACATAGTTTATTGCTCCAATACTAAATCATTCTAATGTTCCCAATAACACACTAGAGACCTTTCAGCGGTAATGGAAATTCGCACACAAGTCCCTCTGAAGAATTGCAATGACCACCACTTAGCACAGGGTGGTGCTGAAGAAATGCCTTAATTTGACACAAGTAAGACTTGTACAGGACTTAAGGGTACTTAAAAGCTTGCATCAATGTTAGTGCCTAAAGAAACTCACTTTCTGATATTTCTAAATATATCGGTCTGTTTCCTCAGCACAAATATGCAACAGTGACATACACAAATGATGAAAGAAACATGCAAAAACCCTCAAGCCTCCACAGTCTGAGTGGTCATTAATGTATTTCTTTAGCTTCTCAAAGCTTACTACCCTTTAATATCATAAAAACTTAGGAAAGAAAGAAGCCTTGCAGTATGTGTTAACAGAGAGAAAGGTGTCAATTCAAAGGGAATAAGCAAATTTCAGAATTGATAATCTCTCACTGAAAACTGTTCACGGAAAGGACCTTTTCCTTACACGAGAGAAGAGTTAGCTCATATTCCTCAGTGACCTCCCTAAAAGGCATCACATAGAAATTTGCGTACCCAATGTACACTATTTAAGCTAGACAAGGACTAAACGACATAAAATTTTTCAATTAAAAACTAGCACCTAGAAAGTCTCCTTGGAGAGTGGCTCCATTATCACCTGGTTTGATTTCAGCAAACCCTTTTCGGCCTCTGAGTGGTGCTTAAAGTTTGGACAAGACGACATCCTTATCTCCCTCTCCCTACAGAATTCCATCCCCACAGAAACCAAGGAAACTAATAAAAGGAACTACCCTAGAGTAATGAATCTTCAAGAAGCATCTCTGATTCAGGTTGTATAAAAAGTGCTACACTACTGTCTTCCCTTTGAGACTGGGAGAGCGTGCCACAGTGTGGGGATAGAGACTTGATGGCATGTGTAGGGATGTGGAAGGGTACAAAACCAGGGGGTTCAGTTCCAGCCGGGCCTCGCTCCTCCTTCTTTTGTCTGTCCTCTGATCAGACCTGGTAGATCTCATTTTATGCTTGGTATGTCCTGTCCCAGCACAGGGAATAGGAGACTGTAAGGACACTGATCTTTGACTACCTTGAACCTTCTCTGCGTTGTGTGCACCAGCAAAAAGGAAGTTGTACCCTGCATAACATGGTAAATTGAACTGAATTGCATTAAATGACTTAAAAGGTCAGGCAGAAAGTTTGCCATAAAACCAGGTATCTCTTTTCTCCCAGACTGATGTTTTAAAACACCCATAAAATAGATAAATATGCTGACACTACAGGTGAATAAAACAAAGCAGGAGGAAATTTGTATCTATTCCCCAAGATTAAGAACAGATTCAACCTAGGTTTAAGCACAGCAAGCCTCACATTCTGCATGCTGGTATACACAGCTGGCTGCTAGCCTGGCTGCTGCTCTGGCTCAAAGCAGCCATACTGGGTTTAGGAAAAGCTGAAATCAGAAGAGCTGCTGATAAAATGGGCAACAGCTATCTGTGCCTGACCTGCCAGACCGCATGTTATGAGCCTCAGCTCCCAAGTCATGCCTGGACCCTTGCCTTCTGAAGACCTGTGAGGCTTGGGCTAAACTTGAACGTAAGCCTCATCTGAATGCCAGCACTGATCGAGGTGAGAAGCCTGACCTTGAGAACAAGTGCCTATGCAGAAAAAAATTCAACTTCTTTGTTAGTGATCACATGCAGTCCATGGAAAAGGATTTCAAGGGCCAGGAAAAGGATTTCAACACTGACTCCCAACCTTCTACCTAACTACAAATTTCTGACTTCATTACCATTGGCAGCCAAATGCATAGCCAGTGTCTACAGAGCCATCCCATGAATCAATGGTCCCTGATTATATCAGATCTGAGTTTGACCCTGAATCTATTTCATTTGAACAGTCCCTTCTATATCAAAGCAAGTAATCCAACTGTTCAGCAAACCTTTGTATATGAAGAGTTTCACTGTAATTTTTCATGACAGTATCATACAATTGGAAACGTGGTAAAAGACTCCATTTCCCATACCCTTAGGCTATACTTGAGAAAATTTACCCATGAATACAGTAGTAAATTTGATTAATCAAAGTGTCCTCTTGCAGCTTGGAACCTGAACTCCAGCCCCCTTTCTGGCAATCCAACACAACCTAACTGGGCAGATTGCCAAGACTTGTTTTTAAGCTTTATACAAAGAAGCTTTTCCCTTTCAAATCTGCTCAGAATTTCTCTTTAGTGCATGCACTTACCACACACTACATTTGAAGCATCCTGTTCACAACAGTGAAATTCCATTGCAGTCAAGGATAGACAATAGGATTTAATCAAAGAGTCAAGTAGACCAGTATTCCTTGTAACCTCCTGCTATAAGGTCCCAAGGTTGCAACACTACTGTCTGTTAGAGAGATGATGGGTTTAGACACACTTTTTAGATCTTTCACAGCCATGGAAGGATTTATAGCAAATAGAGATTAGGGAGTGACAGCCATCATGCCATTAAGAAGAACCCTCATATCATTCTGCCAGCCATGCTAGAGCTGGAAAACCCACATTTCAACTATGATGAAGTTAAAGTGGTGCTGAGCTACCCCTGTTGCAAATGGGGAAGAGCTCAGTGCCTCTCCAGAAATACCTCCCAGCTCCTCCAAGAACTCCATCATGTTTGAGAGAGCCTTTAGCCTTGTGCTTAACCACGAAACTCCTCAAACTTTAATAGCAGGTCCATTGCAACCTGTCTGGAAAAGATGGTTTGTCCAGGAGCTTCTCTACCTTATGTTGCCCATGGAATCTAACATATCACTGGTTTATGCCGCATTGGCCTGTGAATGTAGTGAGACTGGCATAAACAGCAGCCCTTTCCCCTTCCCTTCTCACAGCTGAGACTTATCAACTGGTTCCCACATTTCACCTCCTTGCAGTTGGATCTGCACTTCTGTAGCCCACCACTGTGTCCTCTCCTTACCAGTCACATAAGATAGGTCAGTCTGATCTACAGTCTGCTGGACTGTGCTTGCTGGGGTTAAAATGCATGAGAGGGGATGCACTGCAGTTGGGAAATGCCATCTACCATGGTCCTGGAAAGGGCTAAGCATGAATTTCATTTCCATGCAGAATGTAAACTGGCCAACGTCACATTGCTTACCTGCTCTTACAGATCACAGAGATAAGCGAAAGCAGGAAAGTCAACAGCATGCATGCAGGCACAGAGGCCTGCTTTATTAGCTCCACAATGATGCTAGCTTCAACTCCATCTGACTGCCAGTGGGTCAGCTTGATGGGCCCATCATCATATCTGTCTGTCATGAACAGTATCTTGCTGTTTGCAACTGTGTCAAATATGGCAGCGAGCTTGGAAGCATTATCTGCCTTATGGTCAGTGGAGGTAGTTGTGTCTACTGGGGGATGTAGATGGGAAAGCATGACTTTGCGTTGGTCATAATATACTAAGACGACTTCTTCTTCCTCCTTAGGACTGTTAGACTGTTTCTGAAGGGTAGAACAACTCCAAAACGTGCTGTCTCTCTCTTTGCTTATCTGAATCCATGGCTCATGGGGAAATATTGTCCCAAGGTCTCCTAAGAACTCACTTAGACTCTCTTCTTTCTCCTGTTTGCTGTTGCTCCATGAGCCAAGCACAGAAACATTGATCTTCGTCACCTGCTGGACTTCACTGAGATATTGCTTCACCTGGGCAGGAATAAAAGGGAAATGGACCACTGCAAGGATAACAGCAGAGTTCTGTTCTGAGATCCAACGGCCGATCAAAATGCCACTTTCTGCTGAGGAGCAGCACAAAGGAAAGAAGACCTTAAGCACCATGACAACGATCCTTAAAGAATGGTACACCTGCCAATAAACAGATATAAAATTTGGGGTTGGCAATTACAGGCAAAGAAATCTGAGCTGACCAAAGTCATTGGTGAGGAGGCCCAGTCAAGTTTTAAAATACAAAGTCCAACCACTTGGCTTTGTATTGAAATTAGATACTGTCCTTAGTGACAGCCAATAGGCATTTCAAATCAGAGAAGTATTTAGCAGGCTCCTGATAAACTCCATCCTTTGAAATGATGGGTGGCGAGACTGGAAAGGCCCAGCAAAGTCATTTTCCCAGATCTGGAACAATCTTTCATGACAGTACACTGAGAAGCACACACACTGTTGGACTGGCCAAGATCAGGAATCTATCTAGTCTTGGATCTTGGTTCTGACACTGGATACTCCAGAAAACTCCATAGAGAAGGGCGTAGATAGTCACACACTGTGATGCCTCTGGGGAATATTTCTTCCTTTACTCACAATCAAATATTGGTTTATTCCATGAAGCAAGACAATTTCAGAGTCTTCTTTATTTTCTAGGAATTGGGAGCAGTGCTCTGTAACAAGCTTTAGTCAGATCAGCCTTGGTCAGATCACTCTTCTTGTTTCACTCCTCTCATCTGGAAATAGAGATGATAACTTTGAATTATGTTGCAAAGAGACTATGATGAGTAACTGACTAAAGTTTATATAGTAGTTTTAATTTATTAGATGCAAGATCCTAAAAAAGAAAAGTATCTTTACTTTATCAGTATTCTTTATTTATTTATTTTTCTTCATGCCATTATGAAAACATTTCAATGGCTTTATAGCACCTTTACAAAAAGGAGCATTAAAGCAGTTGACAATGTCCCTTTAAATAAGATTGAGGTTTCTAACAGAAATATAATTGCAATAAGGAGTGCACTGGTACAGAACAATCAACATCCGGTGCCTGTTGTCCTTTTCTGTCCTTTAGTGCTTTATTAGAGATGTGAAAATTCTACAAGCCCCTGAGGCTGGCTCCTATACAAGGGACCCAGTCAATTGGGAAGAGAAACAGGGAGTATATTTATAACACATAGATAGGATGCACAACGTGGAAGTCCCTGGCATTTTGTTCTTCTCTCTATTTAATATAGGACAACTGATCTACTAAATCTTGGCATCTGGCGATTTGGTAAGGTATGGAGTAGGCAGCGGGGAAGCAACAAAGGCAAGTGATTGACCTCGTCTCAGAGCCCCAGCCCTATCAAACACAGGCAGCAAGAAACCTCTGCTCATGAATGAGTTGTCAGCCCCTTGAGGCAAAAGGTGAAGTTTCCTTGGCATCTATCTCACTCATGCCAGAGGGAAAAGCATCACAATTGCAAGGACTAATGTTTTTCTGGGCCTGAGTTTCCCCTTCTACTGCAAAACTGCAAAGCACATCACAACACCTCCCTTCAAATAGGTGTAAGAGTGCTTGTGAGAGATTTTGTGTTTGCAGTATGCTGCTGAAAGCAGATGGTGTTCTCATTCTGAGGGGAGTGAGCACTTCACCTCGCTACCTGGCAGACCCCTTTGGCTCACTGCAAGAGCAGCATTTGGAGACCACAGAGGGAGTTACAACTTCCCCTCTTTGGCCTCCAGCAAAAGGGAAAAAGGAAGTGGAAACTTGTATCAAAAGAAGGGTAGAAAGAGAAAATAGCACATGTGACATCTTAGCACTGTAAAGATACACAACACCAGGTGCGGAAAATGAGACAGACCTGCAGTACAACTGAAAGACTTAGTCTTTCACCAGACAAAGCTTAATATCTATTAGATCCACATAGAATGACAAATAAGACACCAAAACTCATTTCCCACTTCCATTGAAATAGAAGGTAGCTACTGAATCAAGGCAGCTTTTCGGGGAAAGATCATGAAGAAGATAAAGTACACATTTCCTATATAGAAGAGTCTTTCCCAAAACGGACAGGAAACTTTGATGAAAATCAGCTAATAGACACAACTAATTAAACTGATCCTTGAAATTTTGAAATGAAACCTATCCCCTATATTTCATTTTTCCCTTCTTTAGAGGGACACTGCGGTTTGTCCAAGCATATTAGCCAAAATAGCCTTCCCTGCACCGCCTCTCCTTCCTGCATACCTTACTCAGATTGTTAAAGAAACACTACTAGGTGAGATGAGATTTGGTTCAGAATTTAGCCTTAGGTTTGAAAAGCATTTTCCTTTTTTTTGCTAAGACTTACACACATACTCTCAGGAAAAAGAAAATAAATAATATGTTAATACAGAAACTCAGAAAGAAAAAAAATAGATGGAACATGTCAGGAATGTACATATATACATATGCTCAGAAATTACTCAAAATAATATAAATTTAACTAGAGGGATAAAATTATAGCTATACTGTAGTACCAAAAACTTACAAGTGAAGTTTACTACCAACTGAATACTTTAACAACTGAAATTGAGTTGGCCATTTTAAAGGATCTAGAGAAAAATGAAGAAACAACCCTACTTGAAAGGGATTTTTTAGTATTTCTGTTTTATTTATGAAAGCTACCACCAGTAATATTGAAAAGATAAGCCTTTATCTTTTTAAAGTTGATTCTTATTTTTCCTCCCGAGGTGTTGCCGTTGTTTGATAATATCACTACAAGAGATCTCCGGTGTCCCTACATGGCTCTCCTTCCTAAAAGCGTGCCCACACAGCAGACATTTCGGAGAATTACTGACTCACTCTTTAATTCAAACTCTTATTTTTCACTTACATTTTTTTTTTAAAATACCCATATAAATGGTAGCTACATAAAAGGAGGGTGCCTTCCCCAACCTTTTAAATCAACTTATTTTTATTTGGCTTACTAGCATGGCTATAGCTCAGTTTGAACAATAACATAGGACAACTTCATCTGTCCTTTGGCGGCTGCATATATTGCTGAGAAGGCTCTGATGTAATTTTCAACAAGTATAAAATACCTCTACAATTGAAAACAGACCACGTCCTATTCATATGTTAATTTGGCATATTCTTGTAATCAGAGAACAGGTCTGGGAGCTCAGGAAGAAGCAGAGCTTGTACTCTCAACTCTATGGCTTGTTGTGTATACGTGACAAGTGTATACCTTATTCATTTTCATAGGCTATTTGAAATCTAAAGTTGACATTTTAAATGTCACTACAGCCATCTATTCCACTATTTCTAATTTTAACAAAAATATCCTAATAAGCTTACTCCATGCTCCCCAGCAGATGCCCAGAACTGCCCACTGTTTTCAAGCCAAAACTCCCAGCTTTTCCCCAAGCAGCCATACAAAACAAGAATAAAAAAAGAGAAAAAGAAGATACAGCATAAAATTAATTAACTTGCTATTTAAATCAAACAAATGAATACAGGGCTACAGAACTGGTTCATAATTTTAAATACAAAAGCCTGGCAACTTGGGGTGGCCCAAGTCTCATCAAATAGGCTGCCACATCAGCATAGACTACACTAAGGAGTGCTAATGGAAAGGTAGCAGCCTTCATAGGCTTTGGTAAATCTCTGCTTGAGAATTCAGAAGTCCTTCTGCAGGGTTTAAGGTCACCAGGCCAGGAAACACTGAAAGCACTGAAAAACTGATTATGCCTATCCCTTGGGAACAGCTGTAGGACTGTGTCTCCCAGTAAAGTCTTCCAACTTTTTGCTCAAATCTGATTAACTTTTTGCTTTCAAATTTGACCTTTGTTCAAGGGCAGGGGGGAGGCAAAAGGGGGGAAGGGAGAGGAGGTTGGAGGAAGGAAGACCTGAGGTGCCTCTTTGCGATGCCCAAACCTGCGGGACCCACGGCACAGCAAGGTAGGCCTCGACGTCCTGGGCTGAGGGGCGGGCAGGGCACCGCCTCCGGGGAGACGGAGGAAAAAGCGACCCCTCCTCCCGCAGGCCAGGCAGGGAGAGGGCAATGGTCGGAAGGCCTCGCTGCTGCTCCCGCCCCCCCCAT